AGTTGTGTCACCTCTAGTGGACACATCAGTGAGGTCACTACGCGATTCAACAAAGCCTCAGAGTCGTTAAAACGGGGTAAAATCAGCTTAAAAGAGGTCAACTATCGCCAATAATCAGGTCAATGTCGGAGTCATCACACGATCCAACTGAGTAAAAATCACTACTCGAGCGGGCCAGGGCAGTTGTAATGATTGAACAAATCGCTTCTGAGTGCCCAACTTTGATTCGTATAACCGGCTTGTTGTAGCTTCAACAGCTTGTAGTATCCGTCTGCGCATATACCTCGATCTATTATCCGGGGCCTTATAGATAATTTGGAATGCTTCTACTGGCCTAGGGTTGTGGCCTGTGTCGACAAGGTGGGCAGCTATGGCTGAGTTACACACTCTTTTGCATCCGGTCGTTGCCCATGCCGAACTGTGTTCCTTCATTCTCTTGGATAGACACCTAATCGTAGGACTAATGTATCCTAAAAAAAGGAACAGTTAGATGAATAGATGCACATAGAGTTGTCGTGGACAGGTCTACTATCCTTGAGACTGAGCTTCATCATCGGTGTGATGGTAAAGTGGGTACGTAATTGTGCTGCTGGGAACGTCCGTCTAAGCTATTGTGATAGACGGCAAGTAAGAATTTCTGCAGCGGCTTCCCCTTTGTAAGGGGGTTGTAAGAAAAGCGCTTTTCTGTTAGCTGTTAAAATAACCGGTGTGTTCATCCTCTTCTCCAATGTGGACTTTTATGAAGTGATCTGGATAAGCATTTTCCCGCAGCAACGAGCCTATTCGTTGTAGTTCACCTGCAAGTGTATCATGCGAGCAGATTCTTTCTGCTCTGCTGACCAGATTAAGAAAATTCCGTTTCAGCCTCAGTGGCACGAAGCTGTGGAAGCTGGTGTACTGACCATTGCACGAGAAGACTTTTCAGAGGCTCAATCATCTGTGGAGACAACGGAATGTCAGTCTGGATGTATAACGCTGCGATAAGACCAGTGCTACTGCATAGATCAGAGATTCGGTCACTTCGCACTGAAGCCATCACGAGGTTAACCGCCCTCGAACAGTGATGTCGAGGAGCATCGTACACATCCGGTGGGAAACCCATCATCATTAGTATTATACACGTTAGCTAGAGGTGGGAAATATCGCAGCTACTGTGCCGAAATACATAAAAGGAAAAAGAAAATACCCGCGACAGTTGCATACCAGCTGAGCTAATAGCAACGGATGAGCATCATTCCGGAAAGCTACCAGCTGGCGAGTAGGCAACAAAAATTACTGTGTAAAATTATGTTATGCTAAGAAATGAGATAGTGGATGAAGGGGAAGAGGAATGGGGAGGGACAAAGTAACTCACAGCAGGAAAGTCAATGGGATCGGCTCCTAGTCACGTCAGCAATTGTATCCAATCAAAAGTGTTCATCGTCTGTTGAACCCCAACCAGGGGGCTGTGACGATCCAACCGAGGTCAGCTTCGAAGTGAGGGCTTTCATTCCACTCGACCAAGTCATCGCTTGGCCACTTCTCCCCTTCTTACATCCACACACAAGGCGAACAAACAACGCACGACTTGGGAGCCGGTGGGCTGGCATGCGTAACACGTGGCCAAGCCACCGGAACTTGGTGCGTGAAATGACGGTGCTGAGCGGTTCAGATCCTTTTCTTGTACCGTAACCAAAGCGTCGAACACGCTCGTTGCTCACGAGGTGTTTCCATCAGATGTGAGCCACATTGCGAAGGCACCGATGGTCGAACGTAACTAGCCTCCTTATGTCGGCTGATCCAAGGGGCCAGGTTTCAACCGTACAGTAGGGTCGAACTTACAGCTGCATGGTACACTCTACCCTTCAAGTCGGGAGTGATGTCGCGCCGACGCCATAAGTGGCGAAGACTAGCAAAAGCGCCTCGATCTTTTGCTATACAGTTAATGATATCATCTTCGATCCCAAGGGCGCTGATACAACTTACCAGGTAGTTGAATTTCCGAACGACTTCTAGCTGATCCCCACCAAGGGTCAGCGCAGGAGGCGATCCCTGCCAATCTTGGAGGAAAGCTTTGCACTTCCATGGTGCAAAACAAAGCCCAAAGCGACTGACAGTCAGTGCTAATATGTTCAGTGCAGCTTTGCACGTCTGGGAGCTGTCACAGATGAGGGTAAATCGTCCGCGTACTCCAAGTCAAGAAGTCGTTCTCCTGGGAGCAGCTCCACACCTTCCAAGTCATGTCCTGTAAATGTAATCTCCATGACTTCGTCAATAGCGAAGTTGAATAGGAAAGGTGACAACGGGCATCTTTGTCTCACGCCGCTGGAGATATTGAAGGGTGGCGATAGCTTGCCGTAAGCCTTCATTGTGCCCGTGCTACGCGCGTATAATGCTTGGATAATATTTATATATTTCTCGGGCACACCTTTCCTGAGTAGACAATTCCAAAGGGCACATCGATCAACCGAATCAAAGGCACCTTTGATGTCGAGGAACATGACTACGGTGGGCCGCCAATATGTGTGACGGTGCTCCAACAACTGACGCAAGGTGAAAATGTGGTCGATGCAGCCACGACCACGACGAAACCCGGATTGCTCCTCACGAATCTGGCTTCCCCGAGCGCCAGTCAATCCGTAAAGGATTATGGAGGCGAGTACTTTGGAGGCGATGGAGCTGACTGATTCCTCTATGGTTGCCGCATTCCGAACGCGAGCCTCTTTTGAAGAGGGGAATAATAACGGAGCGGCTCCAGTCGGTTGGGACAATCTTCTGCTCCCACAGTTTCACTAGTAATTCATGTAAATCTTCAACAAGAGCAGATCCTCCGAATTTGAAGAGGGCTGGAGGAAGATCATCTTGTCCCGCGGCTTTGTTTAACTTCAACAGTCCGATCTCACGTTCGACTTCTGAGCGAGGGTGGATCCAAAGGGACAGCCCACGAAGCAGGGCGATCACTGGCCGGCGAAGAATCGAACAATTCTAGCCGATCAAATTGCTTTTTAAAATGCTCAGCCCACCGCTCTAAACATTTTGACAAGTTGTGGATAGACTGCCCACTCTCGTCATGTATAGTTTCACTAACACCAGGTCTCCTGCAGCCCGTTTCCCGTATCAGACGGAATAACTTTCGAAGTCTACCAAGGGCAGCGGCCACTTACATCTCTGATGCACGAAGAGACTACCAGGATTCACCGTCACTCTTCAGGCTGGCACGGAGTTTCGCCCGGAGCTCTTGGTGAGTTTCATTGTGTTCACTTCAAGCCGGAATATGCCTGGCAAGCAATGCTGAAGCCCATCAGACAGTGTTTGGTAAAACCCAAGGAAAACTTGCCGGAGTGTCTGTCAAAGTTTAACCGCTTACGCATGACAGCCGTTGTCCTCCGTATGCCGATTAGTCCCCTTCGGAATAGGTTATATACTGTCACTACAACGGCGAGTTTGCCAGCCGATGAGGTAGTATACTGTCGGCATAGGTGGACGGCGTCGTGTTTTCGGTCACTCGCAAAAATGTGGAGTAAATAAAAAAGAATGCCTAGTATGAGATTACGCAATGTAATAAATCGTTAGTGCCATCGGCCATAGCCTACAATCACAGCTAGTGACCAAGAGACTGCCGTTAAGTGACCTAGTCCTGGTGCCAGTGGACATCCCATTGAGCAATGCGGATGACTACCTGATTGGTAACCTGCTGTGATGAACCCATCAAACATATGAGTAAGTGTCAGCACATGATAAGTGTACTGCTTCCGATCCCATCTTCTAACCCAGGCCAATAATGCAGCAGGTGTTGCACGTGTGCTGCCTTTTCGCCACACTTGGTCCGTACATATACCTGTTTGTGCTGTGGCATATTGGACTGTTTTTGCTTACTGATATCCCCGGTTTGGCTGAGCTTGGTGCGATTGTTGGTACGGTGCCTACCTGTGGAGAACCGCTACTTGGATTACTGGTTCCAGGAGACTGTTGATCAATGCTGGGGAGACGGTGTGCACAGTGTTCGTGATGATGTTAGGTTCAAAAAGTGGATCCGTCTAGTGTGAAATGGGCTACCAACCAACCACCGCTGTGTGTACATCTAGTACACATGTCTCCTCCTATTGCATATGAACGATGTGCATATTGAAAGAGTGTGGGTCGGTTCCGCATAAATCGTGACTCCCATGCACATGCCACCAAGCCTTTTTTCTTCGACTTACAACTAGATATGGTACGAGTGGATGAAACCGTAGGTGGTGACGCGCAAGCCACCCATGGTCTCTCGGTAGGCTCAGGCATCCTGGGGTCGTTCACAGCCTTACTGATAAGCAAATCGGAAACGGATGTCGTCTATTATCTACATACGGTAGAACCTCCAAAATGATCACCTCTAGGTTTAGCGTTGTAATCTTCATTACTTGAACGTTCACTATGTAGATGTTATAGATGCAGACTTTTGTTGACACTTGGTGATATGAGGCGAAAAAATAGTTGATTGGAGAGAAAGATGGTGCAGTCCAAATAGAAGCATGCCATGTGACTAGACACGCTGACATTTCTCAGGCAACGGTGATTCGGTGACGGATAAACAAGTGGCTAAGTTAAATTTCCAATGTTTCTAGAAAAATGGAAGAATAATAAAAAACGATATCATCTGTAGAAGTACAAAGTTATAAGTTGGTTCCAGTAGGGCGCCCCAGTGTGTTGACTTTGAATCTGACCTGTTACTCGGTAACACTATCCTAAAGATAACATGACTAGGAATAACAAGATATATCATACAAAACGTTGCTACAGTATCGAGTTTTTGAAAGTGTTGTTGTGGTGGATCGAACCGGGACGCGTTTGGTGTGAAGTAGATCGGCTTAAAGGAACATATGTGGGCATATGCTGTGAATCGAAAGCAATGATCACGAAGTGAGCCAATGGCCTGATGGACCTGGATGGGAAACACAGGTGGCGCTTGCAACGGTTTGTTGTATAGTGATTGTGCTTAAACTAAGTGCCTGAAAAGGACACAATCTTAGTAGTTCACTTACGTTCACAAAATCGGCACCGATGGCAAGGGCGGTTTCAGCTGCGCTGACAAAATTCGCTCTCCTGATGGGGTCCTGTAGCTGTACACCGGACATTTCAAAATCCGCAATAAACAGATTTAAAACTCGCCGATCGATTCGGTCCATTTTTTCACGACCAGATACTGATCCATCGCATTCAGCTTCTCGTACAGATGCGTCGTACAAGCCAAGTGTAGTGTTTAACTGTTCCACCAGTAGACCTATTGCTTGACAAGCTTCAGAAGCAGCGCTTCGATAGGATCCATCTGGATGAAGCATGCGAATACCATCAGCCATGTCGGCCACGCGACACACGGCATCGGACATATCATCGAGAATCTGTAGAAATCGAAGGATGCAAATATTGAAAAAAGACCAATAGGAAGGAATATGTCTCACCGTAACATTAAACATGAGAAGTAACAAGATGTAAACAAGGACAAAAGGGCAAATATAGTGCAGTACTATTGCAGTTCCCGGTACTTTATTACCAGCGGGTGCTAGTTATCAACATGTGCTATCCATTTGGGAACATCAACCACAGTGTGCAAATTGGGGACAAAGCATGTGAATAGATTCCAACGGCCAGCACGAATTTGGAAACAGAGCAATGAAGATTCGCGTGTCGAGGTTCCGCACCAAGAGGGGGGGGGGTAAAGATTCGTCACAATAGTTGTTCGAAAATGTAGAACAAACTGGTAGGAAAAAATTAGCTAGACTAAACAAACCAAAAGATTCTAGAGAATAATGCAGAGGTATCTCAGTGAACAATGTAATAAATACCCTGAACGCAACAACGCAAGTAGATAGAGTATTCGAAGAAGTGAGAAATAAAGTGCAGGGCAGGAAATATTGAAACCAGAATTCTTATCCTTACTGGCATTACTTTTGTTATTCATTCTCACTCAGGCGTGTCTGCTTAGATGCTGCCGCGTCCAGCTAAAAGTAGACTAAATTCTGATCTGCGCTCCTCTGGCTTTTGACTACACTCTTTTTACTAGATCCTGTGTTTCCAGAAGTTCCTATAACATCACTCATTATGCGACATGATGGTAACCGGTAGTTTCCTAATTTATTTTGACAGGCGCACTCGTGGTTCTCTTTGTATGCGCCTCATTGCTTACCAGTGTTGGTAGTCTCACATTTTAGTGTACGATACCGCAATTCTCCCAGGAGCCAGATGCAGTGCATAGATGAAAGGTAAAAAAGAACAGGGATGGATGTTTCACCCACTGATGAGCCCCAATAGGGCGAAACGGCCGTCTGGTGCTTTTCCGGACAGCTGGTCGACATATCTGAATTGTCGGCTGATTGCGATGAACAAAAATACTCACCAAAATCCTTCCATTCACAAGTAATACCAATTCGCCCGTACGGATTCCACAAAATGCTATGTCGATTCATAGCTGCCGTAACCGGGAAGTCCTGAGGCGGGAAGGCCGACCGCTGTCATCTGCATGGCAGGTGCCTGCATGGCAGTGGAAGATGCGTCGGGCTATATCGCATTTAGCTAACAATTCACGATAGTCAGATACCGTCCTCCATGGCGCAGTTGCATAAGCTGCGGGCTAGTTGGCAAGAGCCACTAGCAGTCATGGGTTCGATCCTCCGCAGAGGACCGAAGGATGCGCACCACTGATGAGCCCAATAGGGCGAAACGGCCGTCTGGTGCTTTTCCGGACAGCTGGTCGACATATCTGAATTGTCGGCTGATTGCGATGAACAAAAATACTCACCAAAATCCTTCCATTCACAAGTAATACCAATTCGCCCGTACGGATTCCACAAAATGCTATGTCGATTCATAGCTGCCGTAACCGGGAAGTCCTGAGGCGGGAAGGCCGACCGCTGTCATCTGCATGGCAGGTGCCTGCATGGCAGTGGAAGATGCGTCGGGCTATATCGCATTTAGCTAACAATTCACGATAGTCAGATACCGTCCTCCATGGCGCAGTTGCATAAGCTGCGGGCTAGTTGGCAAGAGCCACTAGCAGTCATGGGTTCGATCCTCCGCAGAGGACCGAAGGATGCGCACCACTGATGAGCCCCAATAGGGCGAAACGGCCGTCTGGTGCTTTTCCGGACAGCTGGTCGACATATCTGAATTGTCGGCTGATTGCGATGAACAAAAATACTCACCAAAATCCTTCCATTCACAAGTAATACCAATTCGCCCGTACGGATTCCACAAAATGCTATGTCGATTCATAGCTGCCGTAACCGGGAAGTCCTGACGCCGGAAGGCCGACCGCTGTCATCTGCATGGCAGGTGCCTGCATGGCAGTGGAAGATGCGTCGGGCTATATCGCATTTAGCTAACAATTCACGATAGTCAGATACCGTCCTCCATGGCGCAGTTGCATAAGCTGCGGGCTAGTTGGCAAGAGCCACTAGCAGTCATGGGTTCGATCCTCCGCAGAGGACCGAAGGATGCGCACCACTGATGAGCCCCAATAGGGCGAAACGGCCGTCTGGTGCTTTTCCGGACAGCTGGTCGACATATCTGAATTGTCGGCTGATTGCGATGAACAAAAATACTCACCAAAATCCTTCCATTCACAAGTAATACCAATTCGCCCGTACGGATTCCACAAAATGCTATGTCGATTCATAGCTGCCGTAACCGGGAAGTCCTGACGCGGGAAGGCCGACCGCTGTCATCTGCATGGCAGGTGCCTGCATGGCAGTGGAAGATGCGTCGGGCTATATCGCATTTAGCTAACAATTCACGATAGTCAGATACCGTCCTCCATGGCGCAGTTGCATAAGCTGCGGGCTAGTTGGCAAGAGCCACTAGCAGTCATGGGTTCGATCCTCCGCAGAGGACCGAAGGATGCGCACCACTGATGAGCCCCAATAGGGCGAAACGGCCGTCTGGTGCTTTTCCGGACAGCTGGTCGACATATCTGAATTGTCGGCTGATTGCGATGAACAAAAATACTCACCAAAATCCTTCCATTCACAAGTAATACCAATTCGCCCGTACGGATTCCACAAAATGCTATGTCGATTCATAGCTGCCGTAACCGGGAAGTCCTGAGGCGGGAAGGCCGACCGCTGTCATCTGCATGGCAGGTGCCTGCATGGCAGTGGAAGATGCGTCGGGCTATATCGCATTTAGCTAACAATTCACGATAGTCAGATACCGTCCTCCATGGCGCAGTTGCATAAGCTGCGGGCTAGTTGGCAAGAGCCACTAGCAGTCATGGGTTCGATCCTCCGCAGAGGACCGAAGGATGCGCACCACTGATGAGCCCCAATAGGGCGAAACGGCCGTCTGGTGCTTTTCCGGACAGCTGGTCGACATATCTGAATTGTCGGCTGATTGCGATGAACAAAAATACTCACCAAAATCCTTCCATTCACAAGTAATACCAATTCGCCCGTACGGATTCCACAAAATGCTATGTCGATTCATAGCTGCCGTAACCGGGAAGTCCTGAGGCGGGAAGGCCGACCGCTGTCATCTGCATGGCAGGTGCCTGCATGGCAGTGGAAGATGCGTCGGGCTATATCGCATTTAGCTAACAATTCACGATAGTCAGATACCGTCCTCCATGGCGCAGTTGCATAAGCTGCGGGCTAGTTGGCAAGAGCCACTAGCAGTCATGGGTTCGATCCTCCGCAGAGGACCGAAGGATGCGCACCACTGATGAGCCCCAATAGGGCGAAACGGCCGTCTGGTGCTTTTCCGGACAGCTGGTCGACATATCTGAATTGTCGGCTGATTGCGATGAACAAAAATACTCACCAAAATCCTTCCATTCACAAGTAATACCAATTCGCCCGTACGGATTCCACAAAATGCTATGTCGATTCATAGCTGCCGTAACCGGGAAGTCCTGACGCGGGAAGGCCGACCGCTGTCATCTGCATGGCAGGTGCCTGCATGGCAGTGGAAGATGCGTCGGGCTATATCGCATTTAGCTAACAATTCACGATAGTCAGATACCGTCCTCCATGGCGCAGTTGCATAAGCTGCGGGCTAGTTGGCAAGAGCCACTAGCAGTCATGGGTTCGATCCTCCGCAGAGGACCGAAGGATGCGCACCACTGATGAGCCCCAATAGGGCGAAACGGCCGTCTGGTGCTTTTCCGGACAGCTGGTCGACATATCTGAATTGTCGGCTGATTGCGATGAACAAAAATACTCACCAAAATCCTTCCATTCACAAGTAATACCAATTCGCCCGTACGGATTCCACAAAATGCTATGTCGATTCATAGCTGCCGTAACCGGGAAGTCCTGACGCCGGAAGGCCGACCGCTGTCATCTGCATGGCAGGTGCCTGCATGGCAGTGGAAGATGCGTCGGGCTATATCGCATTTAGCTAACAATTCACGATAGTCAGATACCGTCCTCCATGGCGCAGTTGCATAAGCTGCGGGCTAGTTGGCAAGAGCCACTAGCAGTCATGGGTTCGATCCTCCGCAGAGGACCGAAGGATGCGCACCACTGATGAGCCCCAATAGGGCGAAACGGCCGTCTGGTGCTTTTCCGGACAGCTGGTCGACATATCTGAATTGTCGGCTGATTGCGATGAACAAAAATACTCACCAAAATCCTTCCATTCACAAGTAATACCAATTCGCCCGTACGGATTCCACAAAATGCTATGTCGATTCATAGCTGCCGTAACCGGGAAGTCCTGAGGCGGGAAGGCCGACCGCTGTCATCTGCATGGCAGGTGCCTGCATGGCAGTGGAAGATGCGTCGGGCTATATCGCATTTAGCTAACAATTCACGATAGTCAGATACCGTCCTCCATGGCGCAGTTGCATAAGCTGCGGGCTAGTTGGCAAGAGCCACTAGCAGTCATGGGTTCGATCCTCCGCAGAGGACCGAAGGATGCGCACCACTGATGAGCCCCAATAGGGCGAAACGGCCGTCTGGTGCTTTTCCGGACAGCTGGTCGACATATCTGAATTGTCGGCTGATTGCGATGAACAAAAATACTCACCAAAATCCTTCCATTCACAAGTAATACCAATTCGCCCGTACGGATTCCACAAAATGCTATGTCGATTCATAGCTGCCGTAACCGGGAAGTCCTGAGGCGGGAAGGCCGACCGCTGTCATCTGCATGGCAGGTGCCTGCATGGCAGTGGAAGATGCGTCGGGCTATATCGCATTTAGCTAACAATTCACGATAGTCAGATACCGTCCTCCATGGCGCAGTTGCATAAGCTGCGGGCTAGTTGGCAAGAGCCACTAGCAGTCATGGGTTCGATCCTCCGCAGAGGACCGAAGGATGCGCACCACTGATGAGCCCCAATAGGGCGAAACGGCCGTCTGGTGCTTTTCCGGACAGCTGGTCGACATATCTGAATTGTCGGCTGATTGCGATGAACAAAAATACTCACCAAAAT